GGGGCCGGCAGGGTGCTGTACGTAGCTGGCGGGAGGGGCCGGCAGGGCGCTGTACGTAGCTGGCGGGAGGGGCCGGCAGGGCGCTGTACGTAGCTGGTGGGAGGGGCCTATCCCCTTCTATAGGTTCCGGCCTTCTCTGCGCCGACATTAATTAGTACGCATGTTTGCACTCTGCCAGGTTGGTGTACGACAGAGAGACCGGAAAGCCGAAAGGTTATGGCTTCTGCGAATACCAAGACCAGGAGACGGCCCTCAGCGCCATGCGCAACCTGAACGGGCGGGAGTTCAGCGGGCGCGCTCTGCGAGTGGACAACGCGGCCAGCGAGAAGAACAAAGAGGAGCTGAAAAGTTTGTATACATTTCCTGTTTTGTGTTTTTATTTCTCAGCTCGCCAGTCCTCAGATGTGGCGGCTGCATTGGTTTTCTTTTTTTTTCAGCATGTACAGAGACTTCCTGTTGATCCTGCCAGAAATGCTGTGTCCTGGTCACTTCCTGTGATAGGAAAAAAGCACCTTCTCTTCAATGTGTAAACGACTAGTTACGGGAGACTACCATGTCATGGAGGTGGACAAAAGGCCGGCGTGTTTAAAGCAGACCTCCAGGACGTGCAAAAGTTCACCCTTCTAGTGGGGCTGCAAGGGGTTAAGTGCTCATTTTGGTCTGGGTCAGAGGTGGGCAAGCTGCGGCCCTTCTGTGGTGGCGAAACCACGATGCACCTGCCTCTGAGAGTCGTGCCTAGGGCTGTGAGAATCTTGCAATGCCTCATGGGATTTGTAGTTCCACACCAGCTGGAGGGCCGGGGCTGCTCATCCCTTGTCTAGGGGATTAAAGAAGATATACATACCTGATGCTCGATACTGTCTGGCTGCTACACGGGTCCACACACCCTCTTCTACAGGTATGAGCCCCGCTGATGTCATGACGCCTATGCAAGGTCCATTCACTTGCATTAGGCGCGAGGAAGCCGAGGGACATACCATAGCCGGCGTGGAGGGGGGAATAGAAGTGAGCAATGATTGCCGCAGGATTGAGGATCAGGTGAATATATCTTCCGTGTTCTATCGAAAGCTCCAACTCATCGAGATCGCAAACTACCTCACTTCCGGTGCTCGGAAAGACCGGAGCTCTGTACAGTTGCGGTGCGCATGCGCGCATAGCGTTTTCAGAATACTCGTCGAGTTTGCAACCCGCTGAATATCGTTAAAATGCGTGCCGCGCAGAGCGCCGTCAGTCTGTGTGGTTTGCAGTCTTAACGCCGCCTGGTCGAAATCTCCAACTTGCAAGTACCCGGCAGTGAGGCAGTTGGAGCTTTTGACGAGTTGGAGCTTTCGGTAGAACACCGGCCCTCGGCACCAAACGAACAGTCAACCCTTGCGGTGCAGGGGGGGTAGCAGCACTGCGAGGGTTAACTTTTGCACATCCTGGAGTTCTGCTTTAAAGTCCAGCCATGGCTTTCCATAGAGATACAGTAACGAAAAAAAAGTGACACGAAGGGTCCGAAAATCTGTCACTGGCTGGATTGCCGGGGTACAACTAAAGGAAAAATCATAAAAAAGAAAACTAAAGAACTCTGGGGTCAGGGCTTTTCCCCGTAGTTCTCCTTAGGGTAACGGGAGGACACAAACTAGCGTCCTCCCGTCACCCTAAGCTCAGTATATAGGGAGCTACAGCTCGCGGTATACTGAGACGCCGCAGCCAGAGCGGATCCCGACAATTATGTCTGGATCCGCCCAGCTGCGTGAGTGACAGCTGTCTCTGCCTATCTAGAGGCAGAGCCAGCTGTACCCGCCCCCTCCCCCGTCCGTTCCGCCAGTCAGCGCTGGAGGATCAGAGGGGGGAATCCAGCCCCTCCCCTGTCACGGCAGAGAGCCATGACAGGATCGAGAGGTGAGCGAACGCCGGTATGTGTTCGCTCACCTCCCGATCTACTGAGCCGACCTGTGACAGTCTCATTGTCACAGGTCGGCTAGAACTATGAGGTGAGTGAAAAGCACCCC